AAATGATTTAACTTATAAACAATCAGCTGAAAATATATTTAATCACGATTTAAAACTAATTTATGATATGATTCTTGAAAGAAAAAATCTAAATACAAAATTATCAGTTATGACTATTATTGAAAATGGTTTTTATATCAGATAGTACTTATGATAAACAAAGAAAAATTTTAAATGGTATGATTAGAAATTATGTTAAAAATTATCATGATCAAAATCGAATATGTATTATTGATATTTATAAACATATTAATTATCATTCTATGAATGATATTAAACAAAGAGATATTATTTGGGATGATTTTGTTTATTTAAAAGCAGATGGATGTGATCTTATGGCTAAAATTATTTTTCAAGAAATTTTTAATAAAATACATCAACAATCATGACATCTTTGCTGTGTGTTCAAATATATATCATAGACTGATCTAAGTCTTAATCACCTTCGTCTATTAATTCTTTTCTCATCGATAATCCATGTTCTCAGTTTGCACACTGAATGATACGGACAGAATTTTCTTTTCATTATATTCTTTTTGATTAAGTTGTTTTCTTATGAAGATATTTTCTATAGAATAAACAAAAACAATTTTGCTTTGATCAATAGAAGATTAAATTCTATTTGACAAAATGATAATCAGATCAAATATATTATAAGATGAATTAATTAGACAAATCATTAATTTGATGAGAATTTTTCGTTTGGAATCGTCTTTATTTCATTTTTTGTTCATTTGAATGAAGATAAAATAACTATTGGCTAATATCTTCAATTCAGATTTGATTCCATTGTTTGAAATCTCACTTCGCGATTGAGTTCATTTTTAATGACATAAAATTTAAAACAGTATTCGCTTCTTTAGCATGATAGAGGTAAAAGTTTTATTGGTTATTGCAACATGAAATCATCTTGATCATTACTTTTCAGATTTCATTTTGACATATCTACGGTGAAAAATTTCTATTCACATCAAAAGGCATTATTACCGATTTATTCTAGGCAGAATCGAAGGAAAAAATAACCAATTCATGACATCAAACAAAAGAGATCAATATTTTTTAACGAAGAATTGTTTTATAAAACAATGATAACAATAGTATGGGTTTCTAACGATAAGGATCTGACGAGTTGAATACATATGAATAATTCGAACTGGAAATTCTCAAAGAATTTTTCTGCTTTAATTTAATCAATGAGAGAAGTCTCATATTGTTCAGCTGTCTATTTCGATATAACTTGATGGTTGTTCGATAAAGATGTTCAAATCTTTGTTATTGTCTTTCCATAACAGTGAGAGAACAGTTAATTCTTTTCCGTTGTAATTATTTGTGTACAATGTGTTCTCAGTATAAGGATGCACTTGAAACAAGCAATATATATTTTCACTTCTATTCTTCTCTCTGTCAAACTTCTATAAGCAAAGTCGTTGCGTTGTGTAATTTCGATAAAACATATGAAGACGCACAAGTGTTATTGCGTAAAATTTTTGTAGTATTACAAAAAGTATAAA